TGTTCATTACAGCGCTATTTACAATAGCCAAGACTTGGAAAAAACCGAAATGCCCATCGGTAGATGACTGGATTAAGAAACTGTGGTACCTTTATACAATGGAGTATTACTTCACTATAAAGTAGAATGAAACCGTACCAGTTGCAATGATATGGATGGACCTAGAGACTATTACTTTAAGTGAAATAAGTCAGTCAGAGAAAGACAAATACCATATGATTTCACTTACACGTGGAATCTAAAATACTGAAAGAATGAGCAAAGTAAACAGAAATGGTCTCAGAGATATAGAGGAACAACTGTTGGTTGCTAGTTGGGAAGGGGGTGGGGATGAGGGAGAAAGGAAGGAATTAGACAGCATAAATAGGTAACCACAGTACTGCCACAGGGATATGAAAGACAGTTTGAGGAATATAATTAATAATGTTGTAAATATTTTGTAGGATGTCAGATGCACATGTCTTGTTAGGGAGAAGTCAAGGGAATTGTAATAGATATGTATGATATGGGGGGGAAGTGGGGCAGCAGATAGGGGCATGGGGGTTTTCACTTTGAGGGGTAAAAAGTATAACTATTGCACTGTGTTGTACAGCTGAAACTAATTTTTTTAAATGTTTATTTCACAAAAAAAATATATAAAAAAATATTACAGTAAAAGACACATTGCCATTACCCCCCCTGAAAATACTCCACCTCACTTCAAACACACTTATCATTATTGCCACTTTCTGAAGCAGTTCTGGAAGTCTTCTTTCATGAGTGTCTTTACTTGCGCTGTGGTTGCTCCCTTGATGTCCTGAATCGAGTCAAAACGTTTACCTTTCATGGTCATTTTGACTTTGGGGAAGAGTCAGAAGTCACACAGTGCCATATCTGGTGAATAATATGGATGAGGACACACTGTAATGTTTTTATTTGACAGAAATTGCTGTACCAGAAGTGATGTGTGACATGGAGTGTTGTCATGATGGAGGATGAAGCCATTTTCCCATTTCATGTTAATGTGTTGTTCATAATCCATTATTTATGGCACACTTTAAAACACACCGTCTCTCAACCATAGCTCACACCCAAATGACTGCATTGAACAAGTTGAAACTTGTCACACACTGTTGCTAAGGTTCGACATGCCACTTCCCATATTGGAGATCTCTGCCTTTCTGTTGGAAGGCATTTGTCAGCAGCAATCACCAAAGGCTCCATGTCACACATCACTTCTAATGGCAATTTCTGTCAAATGAAATCGTTACGGTGAGATCATGTGGTATTTGTCTTTCTCAGTCTGACTTATTTCACTTAGCATAATGTTCTCTATGTATATGTGGAATCTAAAGAACAGAATAAATGAGCAAACAAAACAGAAATAGACTCAGAAATATAGAGAAAAATTAATGGTTGCTAGATGGGAGGGGGGTTTGGGGGATGAGGGAGAAGGTGAAGGGATTAGAAAATACAAACTGGTAGTCACAAAATACAGGGATGTGAAATACAGTATGGGGAAAATAATCAATAAAGTTGTAAAGATTACCGTATTTGCCGGCGTATAAGACGACT